TGCGATATGCATCTCGATGCATAGCCAACACTACGATACATTGAAGATATTTATGAAGTAGCTAGCGATGCGATGCGATACGATTCACCCCTATTCCGATGCAGTGCGATTCGATCCGATTCAATCCGATGCAATACGATGCAATGGAAAAAATATGATCGCATTTATCTCTGGGTTTATGACGGCTGTACCTTTTATAGTTAGAGCAGATAGCATTAGAACTTTACAATCTAACACTGCTCTTTAAAGCATTAAAATCACTAAACTAAAAGTTAACTACATTTTAACTGCTATAAGAAACACACATTAAGTAGTAATTAAGTAGTAAGCTAAGTAATACTGTATTAGCTTACATTTTATTTACCCATTACAATAGTCCCTTTACAGTTAGGCCTACTGCTATCATAAGAATACACCTATATGTAGGTTTCAAATTCTACAAAAGGCACATTTAATGTCCAACAACGAATATTTTAGCAAAAACTGCGCTCGACTGCACAATCCGACACAGCCGCCTCGCCGTCGCGAGAGTTTTTTGGCACACGTCAGCGTGACATCAGAGCAAATCGGACGTAACTGGGACACTTTTCTAACCGGCATGCATTTCGCGGTGATCTTATGCACTGAGGAAAACACAATGTCTCAAATGCATTAAACAGCACAAATATATTCGCTGTTTGCCACTGTGGATCGATTTGATCCATGATCGACATTAAAGGCTGTTTAAGATTAAGCGTCCACAAATTAGTGAGATTGTGTGAATTTACATTGTCGTTTATGGAACTGCTTTAGCCCCGATTGATTAATCCCCGCTTTTCCTCAGGTCTCTGTAGTGTTGTTGTGATACGTCATATTCACGCGCAGCGGTGATGAGAGAACGTGCTTGAGAAACAGTTTCGAGAGGAGAAATTGATCTAACGTTACATATAAAATATTGGTCACTTTCTAAACAATAAAAGTGTAGCCATCCACTAGTAAGTATATATAAATAAATCAGTTTTTACCGATGCAAATATGTTAGAAACGATGCATCGCGATATACCGGTAAATGACAACTTTTAGCCGATGCAAAATTTTTTTTACCGATGCACCTAGCGAATTGGGGAATCTTCCCATCCCTACTGTAGGCCTATTCAGCTCTCAAATGTCTCAAATAACTGATGAGTTAATTCTCAGTGAAACTGTCTTACTCTTCACAACCTCTAAATATAGATTCATGCAAAATGAATTGACTTTTACCTGGTGTTGAAAAAGCTACACAATAGGATTAAGCTAGACAAAACTGACGGTCAGTGTCAACAATTTAGAACAAAAAAAGAAAATTATATACAAATATTATATTACAAATATTTCCACACAGATCGCACTGTCATAGTGTTTGGGAACATTCATGCATAATTTAAATACATAATCATATGAAATCAGATAATAATAAAATATTTTAGAAGACAACAGCAGCATCACGGTTGTCTGAACCAATAAGCATTAAGCTGTGTCGTCAGTCAGTCGTTTCCCATCACGCTTTTGATCAGCTCAGTCGGTGGAGAGCAACTGCGCTCGACTGCACAATCCGACACAGCCGCCTCGCCGTCGCGAGAGTTTTTTGGCACACGTCAGCGTGACATCAGAGCAAATCGGACGTAACTGGGACACTTTTCTAACCGGCATGCATTTCGCGGTGATCATCGGTTCTGCGCAGATTTTGCTCATCTCAAACAAGCCTAATGCGCTTGAGAAACAGTTTCGAGAGGAGAAATCAATCTACATATAAAATATTGGTCACAGATTATTGGTCACTTTCTAAATAATAAAAGTGTAGCCATCCACTAGTAATTATATATAAATAAATCGGTTTTTACCAATGCAAATATGTTAGAAACGATGCATCGCGATACAAATGTCAACTTGTATCCGATGCACACTTTTTTTTTTTTGAGTATTATTTTTTTTCTGGGAACTTATAACTTTAACTTCACTACATTTGAAAGACAAATATTGTACTTTTCACTCCACTACATTTCTATCAAGGTCCTCGAAGTAGAAAGTCGTTATTATATAGCAGCTTTGAAAGTCAGTGGGTGATTTTTTTCTTCTCTAAAACGTGACTTTCTTTTTTTCAGACAGTTTATCAGTAATCACTCTTGTAGGGCTACATGAAGAG